AAATAGTTTGATTTTCATAACAAATCTAAGATTTTTTAAAAGATTTTTTCTGAAATTCTGGAATGTGAATGATCATTTGCAACGTGGATTTTTAATTAACCAATTTCAAGATCAAGTAAGCCAAGCATCAGAAATTTATTAGGTGGCAACTTTAAATTAGCTACCGATTTACCTTTTTACCTAAAAGTTTTATAAATTTGGGTTATTTCAGAGTTCCCTCCATTTCGTCACATTTATCGGTCTCAAGTCATCCTCCAAACTGTTCAAGAATCTAATTGTAGGTATTTCTTTACCCATATACTCCTGCAGTCCGTTAGAACATACGCTTTACAAATTCCTGTAGTATTTGACTTTCATTATTATTCACTAAATGTCACCACATAGCTTGCTTTTTAAATATACAGTAGGTCAGTAGTTGTTTGCATTTGTCAGGAGTCCATGTTTAGCTAAACTTAAGTAAGGTTTCCAAAGTTTGCAATACTTAGCGCAGGTGGGTAATACAAAATTAATTATTTATCATAATCATAATTAATTAAATGAAGCAAGTGTTTTGAGGATACTATAGTATTATTTTCTCAAAAAGTTTTAACATTTACTTTTGATTTTAATTATATTTTACTATAGTTATTACTGTTAATTATATTTTTAATCTTTTTTTCTGGGAAAAATAAAGCTCAAAAACGACTGTATGATAACAAACGGTAGGATAAAATATTACTGTCATAACATTTTGTAACTTTTTAGTTTTTGGACAAATCTTGTCTTCCTTTATCTGATAAATGTAATAACGTTGAAGATTCCGGCGATAAAAACCAAATTAACATAAATAAAGTTTCAGGTAGTCAATTAGGAGTACAAGCTAAAGTTCTTTTTGATAATGGACCGTTGGAGGATAAAAGGCAGAATGAAATTATGATATCAGATTCGGAAGATATTCAATTGAAGCAAGATACTGATAGTGAAGATAACCTCCCGTTGTTTGTGCGTGTGTCTCGCTTTATTGTAAGTCCTCCATAACCTCGGCCGAAGAAAAACAAATAGTATTCCTGAAGAAAACAATATACTAATCCCAATTTTCCCGACTCGAAGCCAGTAAGTGAACTAAAAATTGTTTTTCCTTTTTTGGTAATTTATATACATCGCTCTGAAGATATCAATCAAAATGAAGTTAAGTGTTTTATTGGGATATTACTTTTAATTACTTTTATTGGGATATTACTTTTAAAGTGGTATTATTTATTTTCTCGAAGGTCTATGTAATGGAAAAACGTCGATGACACAGGGTGTAAGTTGGTCTATTCGGCCAGATTGCGAGATAGATTCAATTTTATTATGCAAAATGTATATTTTGTTTATATATATATGTTTATATATATGTTTCTAATAATACCTAATTGATCAGTTGGCGCTACAGCCCTTCGTGAGCCGTGGCCTGCTTCAAAACATTCTTTCATCCTTCCCTATCGAGTGTCTGCCTTCTCCAGCCCCTCACTCCAATCTCCCTAAGATCTTCCTATACATCGTCCAGATATCTGAGTTCAGGTCGCCCCCTTCTTCTTCTTACGACCGGCCTGTTTAGCATAGTTATTTTAGTGGGATCACTCTCATCCATCCGCATAACGTGGCCCACGCACCGTAGGCGGTTTATTTTGATGGTCTTCACAATATCTGCATCACCAAAAAGTCTATAGAGTTCAAAGTTATATCGCCTTCTCCAAAGACCCTGTTTGTTTACTCCGCCATATATGGTCCTCAATACTTTTCTTTCAAAGACTCGTAGTAACTCTTCATCTCGGGTCGTCATTGCTCATGTTTTCGATCCGTATGTGAGCACTGGGCGTATTATTTTATAAAGTTTGCATTTTGTTGCAATTGACATACTTTTCGCTCTTAGTTGAGGGCCCAGGCCAAAATAACAGCGGTTAGCCACGCATATTCTTTTTTTTTATCTCTTTGGATATGTTATTTTTGTAGTCTACCAGTGATCCTAAGTAGCAGAATTCTTCTACCTTTTCTATCGTTTCGTGTTGCATCTCTAAGTGATTTTGTTGAATTCAATACCTGCAAATACCTAATTACAAAAGGCAATAAATTTGCCAAAATGCGTCTGCTATTTATATATTTGATATATCTAATAAAACTTTTCATATGTTTCGTCCATTTAAAGAACCTCACAGGGTTGATGCAGCAATGGTCCTTTACTATGGGCAGCATAGATCAATACAGTTTATCCGAGGTAAACTTATTAAGTGGGGCTATACACTATGGGTGGAAACCACAAAACAGGAATATGTCGAGTAGTTTGAATCTTATCAAGGTGCCACCACTCCAGTTTCTGATACATACAAGGAATTAGGATAAGGAGCCAGTAGCGTATTGTCATCTGCCGTTACATTGCAGTCTGATAACCTAGGTAAGCCATTCCACTTATTCTGTGATAAATTTTTTACCTCACTTTTATTCTAAATGCAAGACATTTAAAAGGCACAGGAATAATTTGAGAAAATCAAGCTGCGGGTAGTCCTTTAAAAAATTCCAAGGTTTTTAAAAAAGATTAGAGGGGTGTATTTAAATACTCAATTGTAGAAGACGAAAATATTATATTATTTAGTGGAACGATAATGATGTCATTTATATTGCATCGAATGCAACTTTATCAATGCCAAGCCTCTAGATGAAAATATATTCGCAGAAAGAAAAGAAAAATATACTCATTCCTTAGCCATTAGGAGTAGACCGTGCAGACCAAAACTAAACTTATACAGAATAGGTATCAGAGGAGAGAAATGATACTTTATTTTCCCATTACATTGATATGGCAGCGCAAAATACCTAACAATTACATAAAAGTAATGGTAGCCAACGGCAATGGTTCCGAACTAATGCCAGAGATAAAGCTAAATGAGATTCGACAAGCATTAAGAAAAATGAAAAATAACAAAGCCCCAGGAGTGGATGGAATCGTAATAGAAGCTATCGTAAATGGAGGAGATATGCTATTAAATAAATTAAGGAAACTATTCAATCTATGTTTGCAGCAAAAAGAGGTGCCCAAAGAGTGGAACAATGCTACAACCATCCTTTTGCATAAAAAAAGGAGATAGAATGGACCTAGAAAATTATAGACCTATTAGCCTGTTGAACCACATATACAAGCTCTTCACTAGGGTAGTGACATCAAGATTGGAGAAAAAATTAGATTTCTACCAACCGAGAGAGCAGGCAGGATTCCGCTCAAATTATGGTACCAATGATCACCTCCACACAGTAAAGACACTCATTGAAAAATCTATAGAATATAACAAACCTCTTGTTCTCACTTTCATAGATTTTCATAAAGCGTTCGACACGATCGAATTAGACAGCCTTATAGAAGCAATGAATGACCATAGGTATAGTGAGCTTATTTATAATATTTACAAAAATTCCACTATGACTGTTAAAAGAGACAATAAAACCCGACCAATAAAAATAAATCGTGGAATAAGGCAAGGAGATACATTGTCGCCGAAATTATTCATAACGGCATTAGAATATGCCTTTAAGATGATCAATTGGGACCACAGAGGAGTAACGATAGACGGCGAAAAACTTAACCATCTCCGTTTCGCAGATGACATTGTCCTTATCACAGATAATTTATAAGAAGCTACAGATATGTTGAACGAATTGGATTTTGCATGTTCGAAGGTGGGCCTGAGAATGAACTTGACCAAAACTAAGTTTATGACAAATTTGGTCCCCAATAACCATTTGACTATTCAAGACAAAGTGGTAGAACTGGTGGAGAAATATACGTATTTGGGTCATGAAATAAGAATCAGCAGGGGTAACCAAACATGTGAGATCCAAAGACGAATTACTTTAACATGGGCAGCCTTTAGAAAACTGCGAGACACACTTAGGGCCAACATACCAATCAGCCTCAAAAGAAAAGTGTTTGACCAATGCGTATTACCGATCATGACCTATGGGGCGGAAACTATGACTTTAACCAAGACCACGGCTTCGAAACTGAGAGTGGCACAGAGACGAATGGAACGGTCTATGCTGGGAGTGACGTTGAGGGACCGAATAAGAAACGAAGATCTGCGAAGAAGAACGAGTATTACTGATGTTGTGGAACGCATAGAGGAACTAAAATGGAACTGGGCAGGCCATGTAGCGAGAATGCACGATTCACGATGGACGAGCAAAATTACAAATTGGAGGCCAAGAGCAGACAAACGCAGTAGAGGAAGACCACCGACACGTTGGGCCGACGACATCAGGCGTATCACTAAAAATTGGCAACAAAGAGCACAAAATCGTGAGGAATGGAGGAGTTTAAGGGAGGCCTATGTCCAGCAGTGGACGTGATAAATAAAGGCTGGATGATGATGATGATGAATGGTAGCCAAATGGATCTTCTAGCTTTCAGAAGATTCTAAATTTTACTAAAACTACTAAACGCCGATCGTCAAAGAAAGTTAACTTACACATTTTGAGTCAAGGCACGATAGATTAGACCATATCGATATTTATCAAGAAAAGCAAACAATCTTTTTTGTCATAACTCAGATCTCATTTGGTTAATCAGAGTTCTTCAAAAAATTATTTTAACTTTTTTATATCCTTCTTTTGTTTGGTACTATATTAGGTCTCCCGCCAATGGCAATTACAGTGGGGAGTTGTTCACTGTCTTCAGCTAATGGTATTAGTTGTTTGGCACTACGTAATTCTTGTCAAATCAATTGATTCTGTACCGATTTGCGTTACAAACATGCCCTATATAATAATTTAAGAGAGATTAAAAGGTAAACTATAAAAAATGTACATTTCCTTCTAAGCAATATCCAAGACTGGTGTAAATTTTTCAATGCAAATGTCATACTTTACCAGGCCCAACATACAATCATCATATTGTTAATTTAAAGAAACAGGAGGTGATTGGTTGATCACAATTTACTCACGTATATGCCTAAAGAAAGAAAAGCAGAGTTTAAGGAATATTACTAATTAAATTTAATAATTTATTTTTATATTTACAAATTTTTAAATCTATTATAGTTTTCACAAATGTTTTTATTCACTCTTCTCTATCCACTTTCGTCTTCCATATTCGGAAACCATAAAAGCAATTTTGTCTCTTGCAGCCTTTGGAACGTCCTCTTTAGCAACTCTCACAATTTCATCAGTCTCTAATTCATCACCTCTATCCTTCTTACCAAAAACCACAAACATTGTCATATACATGATATCCATGAAATTACTAGGAGCTACAGCATCTAACTCCTCCCAAAATTTATCGATATCAAACAAATTTGTATTACAATTTAACCTTCTCAATTGGTCTGTAAATTCTGTGTGATAATAGATAAGAAGTTCGTCAAAGTCTTGTTTCAGAACGTTTAAATGTACACTGGACCAAAGGAAAAACAATACATCAGTTAGTGGTGATTGATAATAATACAGTTGGAAGTCAACAAACTTGTTTTTCTTGATATTTCCACTTTCTAAAAAAATAAGTTAATTAAAAAAAATAGATTACGTTTTATTAAAAAACCTTTATAAAAGGTATATATTTAAAAACCCTAACGGGCTAATTATACAAAACGTTTTCGGAATCCATATTCCATCATCAGTGTCTACATGAATGTAGCCAATAAATATATGGGTCTTCAGTTGCTTCCATACAGTCCTTGTAGACACACCGTCTCAGGACTATAGTTTATTTTTATGAACGAGAGAGTAATTAGCATAATTTTAACTGGTAGCTCCGACCACTCCATGGGCGTGCTCAAAATTAATTGAAAAATTACTTTAAATAATTGTAAAAAATAAATGAATTATTTCAGTGTTATAAAGTGTTATGTATATGTAAATAAAAGTGACCTCTTTTATCACACACTATATTAGAACTGACTGGCCTACATTAAAAAGGGTTTTAAAAAATTCACATTTTTTTTAATTTTTAAAAATTACAAAAGAGAAAAAGAGTTTTTAAAACCGTCTAAGGTATGTTAAATAGATGAATAAAAATATTAATATAAAACTTACAGCTACTTGTTACAAATCCAAATCAGATTCAGAACATGAACTTTCAGAACCAAGATTTATAATAACTGGCTCGATCATTTTATCAGTAATACTGTCCAGCTTCCACGTTTTTTCCTCTTCTTTAATAGTATGATTTACTGCCTTTTCCCAGTTTTCAGGTTTTACATTATTTACGGCCTCCAAAAACAACTGTTTAACATCATGAATTTTAAAAGTGGTATTTTTTCTTGAAACTTCACTCTTTATCTGTGCCCATACCAGTTTAATCGGGTTTAATTCACAATGATATGGTGGGGATCTAAGTACTGTCATTCCACGATTTTTGGCAATTTCATCAATTTCGTATTTTTTAAATTTTTCTTTATGAAGGGCACACAACGAATAAAGTTCCTTTCTTATAGATCCGGGATGGTACGTAATATTTTTTGAACTCAACCAATTCTGCAAGTCTTTTTTTAACCACTTGGTTGTGGGCAGTCCTTCTATAAGTCTGGAGTGATAACTTGCATTATCCATTACTATTACACAGTTCTTAGGAAGAAGATCTATCATTTGTTCGAACCATTCTTGAAAGACATCAGCGTTCATGTCTTCATGGTAGTTACCGGTACGAGTTGATTCAAAAGTTAATAAACCACCTTCAACAAAACCGTCTGAACTGCCAATGTGTACTATTATCAGCATGCGTCCCTTTCCTGATGGTGGGTTTAAACCAGTAGATAAGTTATTTACAAAAGCGTGCCTTTGACTTGTAACAGTTTCATCCTGCCAAAATTTATTTGGTGTATGACCCTCGTTGATCCATGTTTCATCAAGATAAAATATTTTTCTTTTTTGGTTTCTCATTTCCTTTATAGTTCTTAGAAAATGTCTTCTCCATATGACAATATCGCTTCTTTATAATAAAATAGACTTTCTGGGATTCTTTTTCCAGCGGAAGCCTATTTCTTTTAAAAGTTTCCATAACGTACTTCGACTCATTTCTAGGTAATCCTTATCATCTCGAACTGAGACAAGAACTTTATCCAATGTTGGAAATTTTTGTCTAAAGAAGAATTCATGCACTTTCCGTCGAAGTCCTTCTTTAAAATGATATTCTATTTGAAATTTTGGTTTCCCTGGAGCATTACGTGGCATTTGAAAACTACTACATTTCTCTTCTTTAATAACTCTGTAAATCGTAGATTTCCCAACACCAAGTGTACTGCTAACTAACTCAACGGTCTCATCAACACTTTCACATAAACGTTTGTCTGTAAATGATTTAAAACAATTAAATATTAATGTTTTTTCATTAACTGTTAAAGGACCAATTTTTCGGCGTTTATACGGCACTTCCAAAATTTCCATAACACTAGTATACACAATAATCTGCACCTTGCAACTAAAGTACCTACTTTTAGTGAACTGTTAAGATTTTTGAATACGCCACTTGGACCTTCCTACAAAATGAAAAAACCCACTATCACATTTTCTGTGGAATAAATTTAGAAGGTAATTATCTAGTCAATTACTGTCGTAGATTCCTGGAATTAAAGAATTAAATGTTTGATTGTTGAAACCCTTACTTCGTGGAATGCACTCATTTCAGATAAAATAAAACGTTTTATTTTATCTAAAGAATTAAACTTTATTTTGCAAATAAGTAGGTACTTATTAAACGTTTATTGGTTATATATAACCAATAAAATAAACATCTTACATTTCTTGCAAATTCATTAGTACCTGTTAACCTCCATCACTCCGACACTGGCAACCTTATTTAGGGATTAGTAACCCTTACAATTATTGTATTTTATTCTGCTCCAACCTTTATATCTGGTGGTCATACTCAATTTAAAATTGTTTTCCTATATACTTCTGTAAACTTGTTGACAAATATCTGTTTTTCATTGAGTCACCCGTATCAACAGTTTAGGGATTTGCATACATAATTTATTGTTTTATTACTCTCTCATACATAAAAATACACTATAGCAACTTCAACGTGGAGTCATATGTCGCCATGTTACCTTGTCCAACGGTAACTTTAACATCATAACATATTATAAGAAATATTGTATACCAAATGTAACTAATTATTTGTTAACGGGTTTTTACCCATATATTTAGTGGCTACATTCATGTACTCCTAGACACTGATGATGGAATATGGATTCCGAAAACGTTTTGTATAATTAGCCCGTCAGGGTTTTTAAAGATATACCTTTTATAAAGGTTTTTTAATAAATTTTTTTTAATATATGGTATACAGCCAACTACAGGAACGTAGATTCCTTGTGGATAGATAAAGTTCTTTCTTTAACAACCTTTATTAAAAATAGCTTTAAGACGAAAATGAAAATGGCAGTAGCTTTCATTGATCTGCCTAGGGCTTATGACATGTATTTACCAAGGCTGATTACTTAAAATATACCAGAGATACCATGTCTATCATTTATTGACCTAGTAAATCAAATGAAGCGCAACAGATTATTTTAAATTGGCTTTAACGGGAAAGCTAGTAAATTCAAAAGTTTACAGAGTGACTTAACTCAAGGATCGGTTCTATCACCACTCTGGTTTAACATAGTTATGCAGATAACATAGCTTTAGGTATATACAAACAAGCTATTTTAGGCATATAAAAACAAGGCGACCTCAGTATTATTAACATATATTTTAAAAACTGGGGTGTTCAAGCAAATCGTAAAAGGGCAGTAGATACTGCTTTTCATTTAAATAGCCGTGAAGTAAACTACAGACAAAAAAGCAAAGTATTTAAAATATAGGTAACTCAATCTCAAAATATTTCGTTGTAATACTAGAGCGCACTCTAACTTTCAAGCAAAACTTACATAAAACTGTAACTAAAGTAAGAACATCATTTAAAAACTAATGTTATGTCAGATGGATTATGTCAGATTCAATAATTTTTGGTTTATTTGAGAATTTTAAACGTCATTAGTTTTCATCTTTTATACGATCGATACTGTCATTCAGCTGCAGTTATTACCATGGTTTACAGTATACCTGATTGCGTGGAGATCATTTTCATAGTTGCCTCCCAGAACCAGCGTTATTTACGAACAGTTCAAATATTTCATGAAAGACATCCGGACAAAAATGTAAGTCACGTGTACATCCAAGATTTATTTGAAAAGTTTAGAGAAACGGTATCAGTCCAAAATAAAAAAAGAGATGCCCCAAGATTACTGAATGAAGCATCCTAAATTGAAAGCCTTGGAAATTTTGCAATACAGAATACTGAATCAACACGTCAAGTGTATGCTATGACTCTCACATGGGTCGGTTAGAAAGGTGAAATTATATAAATTTCACCGGTACAAAACACAAATTCTTTAAGAACTAGGCGATGATGATCCAGACCGACGAATTGAGTTTTGTGAACTCATGACTGAAAAAATTCGCGTTGAACAGAGAATGTTAAAAAATATTTGTTTCACTGATGAATAAACTTTTCACTGATGAAAAAACTATCGGTACTAGAGTGATGCGAACCTGCATCGACCCAAGATCACACTCAATATCCTGAAAAACTTAATGTTCGGCAGGAATATTAGGCCATGTTATAATGTTGCCCCTTGTTGATACCAGTCAATTTAAGTAGCGAAATTTATCTCGATATGTTGGAAAACAACATCGAACCTTTAATTGGGGCACTCCTCTTTATGCAGCTCCAGTTAGGCACTGGAAGTTAGGTACCGAAGAATGTTAAAAATCTCCTGGAAGGATAAGATAACTAACCAAGTTGTATTAGACAGGATGAACAAACAAAAGGAGGTCGTATTGAGTGTTAAAATGAGAAAACTACAGTACCTGGGACATATTACACGTGGGAATAAATATCAACTGTTACAACTAATTATGCAAGGAAAGTTTGAAGGTAGGCGCAGCATAGGTAGGAGAAGAATGTCATGGTTGAGAAACCTCAGGGAGTGGTTTGCTTGCACTTCCATGCAATTGTTCCGAGCGGCAGCCTCCAGGGTCAAAATTGCCATGATGATAGCCAACCTTCGTAGCGGAGATGGCACGTGAAGAAGAATAAGTTAGGCACTGGTTGGATACTAATTATCCAAACAAATAAATTGGAAGGAGAGGTCCTATTTAGAGGCCACCGAGGTCACAAGACTTACCACCACCTGACTTTTTTCTATGGGGTTACCTCAAGTCAGTTGTTTATAAAACTCAACCTGCGTCACTTGGGACATTGCCAGAAAGAATTAAACAAACATGTCACGCTATTACTAAAAGAACATTTGCCAAAGTTCGTGCAGAATTTAAAAATAGGCTGTATTATTGTTTACAAAACAACGGAACTCACAAATTTAAAGTTCAAGAAAAACCTCATTTTTCATTTAAGCCAAAGTTTCATAATTATTGCTTCATCCTGTATAAATAATATTTATACCATTGGATAACATTTTTTATAGTATTTTCAACGATGAATCACAAGTAGGGGTTTGCAATTTAAACTTTTTGTGGTGGTTGGGCCTAGGGAGTTGATGAAGGTGAGTTCTCTTTCATGCTATTTTAGTTCCACCTTACTATTCTAGAAACAGTTTCAAGCATTTTTCAATATCAGCTTTTGTTCGTGAGATATAGCACATTGCAAGTTTTAAAATTGACATACTGTATATTGAAACAATATTATAAAATCCTAATGTATTGATTCATACAAGAAATGTTTGACGAATAATTGTACTATTGCGCCATATATATCGCCTTTCAATTCATTATAGCGATAGCAAAGCTTTTGCTGAAGTCGAAACTTTGCAATGTTCGAGTAGCCAGAAAGGATAGAAATCGATTTTGTTAAATCCTGTTTTGTTCATCGTCATTAAAATAGGTGGCATCTATTACAGATACTAGGAATTGTGGAAAACAAGCAATGGTGTTCGCTGACCATGTGTGTATGAATTTGTATATGTCCCGGACCTCTGATGAAGCACGGTATATGCTGAAATAGCGGTCAAAAATCCTGATGATATCGATTCACGGAATGTTTGACGAATTGTACTGTTGCACCATATGAATGTCCTTTTAATTTATCATAGCGATATCAAAGCTTTTACTAAAGTGTACACTTTGCAATTTTCGAGGTACAAGGCTCAAAAGGATAGAAACTGACTTCGTCAAATTGAGTTTCGTTTATTCATTATATCATGTAGGAAACATTCAACATTCACAATAACAAAAATGGAGATATAATATCTTACGACCTTACAATAGACAAGTAAATTGAATTATTTACAAGGAAAATAAAACTTCTGTAGTTGACTGTGTACCATCAATCACAAAAGTTTATTTAAAATACTTTTTAAAATGTATATAATTTTAAATCCCTTTCGGGGTACATCACAGAACGTTTTGAGACTATAAAGCCCATCATCAGTGTTTTATTACTATGGTCTGTTTTTAAACCAGGAGGAGTAATTTAAATTTTCCGCGCCATAATGCTTGTTTGTAATTGGTCGAAGCGCAGGCAAGTTTACTCCACTAAATTATGACATATTGACACTAATGACATTTGTGAAATTTTAAAATTCAAAATTTATATCGACAATTTTTCTGTGTTATTTCTTACATCTTTAGATTTTTCGTTTGCATTTATATAAAAAACAGTTCTTTTAAGAACTATTTAGCGACATATTAGTGTTATTAAGATAACAATATGGATTCAATGCCAAGTACTAGTGGTAATTATTCTTCTCCACCTTAAAAACGCCGAGTAGATTTGGATCATTTATCATCAAATGAGAAATAATGTACTATAAACATGTACAAACATGAAAATTAATAATTCTGGAATAAAAATAACAGCCACGGCAGTAAAAATAAAACAGGCAGCAGGTTAGTTTTACAGAATAGTTATTATTAAAATCAAGTCTTACTAAAGTAATGTGCTAATTTTAGGTGTTGCGAATTCAACTATTTACAACAATAGAATTTAGAACAATTAAAGAATATAAGCAGACTGGAGCAGTAATATGTCCTAAAAATATTGAAGGTCGACCTTATATTCTTGCAACATAGGATGAAAGAGTTAAAACATCTATACGACAGAAAGTACACAGTAAAATTTTAAGTGAAATTAACAACCGCTCAGATCTTCCAAAATATGTGTCGTTCATTATTATATAAATTCTTGAAGCAAATCAATTTAAAGTAAGTACAAATATCGGTATGTAAATATGGGTTAGCTACAATTATATAGTAAAATTAACTAAAACATTTTATAGATTTCATTTGTATAATCAGGTATATTATTGTTACTACTAAATATTAAGTTTTTATTTGTATACTCTACTGGAATGTGGTCAAGTATTTTGGTTCAACAGATATAAGAACATAGAAAGGGAAGAAAAGGTAAAAAAAAAAGGATATTTTTACTTTACATATGCAGATTCAATGCAGCAAATATTACATAGCATAACTATAGATTGTTTATCTTACTGTTTATAGGATGATTGATTTATTGTCTATATTATGAATGTCTTACCATAGTTATTTTATAGGAGAAATTATTCAAAGAATAGTTTATACATTGGGCTGCTGACCAAAAACAAAACTTTCTTGCTCAAATATCTGAAATAGATTCAGTTTTTGTTGAAAAAATAAATCAAGAAATTCAAGATGGTGTAGTTGTTCATTAATCTCACCAATTTAATTTCACAATTAATTTTTATTTTTACATTCATTCCGAATATATATTATGCACAGAATATTATATAAATCGATTTCTGACTCTTTAAGTTGTTTTTGTAATAACTTGGACTTGGTGATATGCGATAATAGTATTTAATGTGATATTTTTCTAGCTGATATTTATAATAAATAGAGTTTACAGTGTTTATAAATTTATAAATGTATTATATTTATATCTAATTATCATAAGAAAAACGGCAACTATCTTCTAAATTTAGTGTATACTTGTTAAGAAGCATTGTCATTTTGTTTTCATCACAATAAAAGAACATTAGTAATGTTGTGTTTTACTTTGATTGTATTGCTAAAGTTGGTTTTGTTCTTCCTGTTGTAGATCATCACAAGAAAACTGCAAAATTATAATAGAATGTAACATAATATATTGAATCAGTTGATTATCTCACAGAAATCCAGTATTTTTTAGTAAATTTTAATTATTGATAACAAATGGGACAAACTCACTGTCAAAATTAAACAAGAATCCAGCATTAAAGAAATTGCAAGTACACACTTATTTATACAAATTTATTGTTTTGCATTTTAGTGCTTCAAATAGATCCTTAAGATATTGATACATAAGTTAAATCTATCTAATGAGGTAACTGATTACCATGCATGAAAAGTAGGACCACACCTCTATTTGAACCATAATTTATTCTGTGATATGAAACATGAAAAAGTCAATTCTAAAGCAGTGAATGGGAAGGAATATGTAAAACAAACTGGCTGATGCAATTCAGGAGATTGGATTATTAAGCTTAAAAATAATGATCAAAGTCAAAGTTAATTCTGGTAAGAAAAAAAAACCTAGATTCAAGAAATTAATCACACCAGAATAAGAATATGGTCTACTCAGTTTAAAAGAACAGTATTTCAGAAATCTTTGAACTCTCTCTAATTTTTTGATACATGCATTTGGATAGCTTTGTTGCATATAAGATCTATTTGCAAATTAAAAGACAAATTTCTGAGAAAATCCATACTTAGATCTGTAACATTATTGACTCTCTGGATCAAAATATTCTATAAATTAAGTACCATCGACTCAAAAGGTCTATAAATCTGGATCACCCGATATTGAAATATATATACATGGGACCAAATGTGAAAAACGTCCTTTTTTATTGTAATATATATTGGAAGTGAATTAAAAAAAATATTATTCAAACATAAAGTTAGGTTAGAATTGACGTGTAAGGTTGTCCGATATTGATTACTTGATTATCGCAAGGCCGAGATATACAACAAAAAAGAAGATGTATTTGGTGACTTTTCTAGTAACTTTCTTGGGTGTGAATCTGTCTTTTTGGTTTACTTCTCCTGGTTAAAAAACAGCGTATAGGTGCCCATAAGTTGAGCCACTAAATACCCAGTTAAAAAATCCCAGGTTTTTACCAAAGTATTGAGTGGCTTAACTCATGTAAAGCGAATAACAAAACGCTGATGATGGGCTTTTCTTATATACTAAAATATTTTAAATATATTTTTTTTAAATTTAAGTAATTAGTAGGCCAATTACATTGTTTACAAATATTGAAGGAGATATCATCAAATGGTAGAATACGTAAGGAGTACGCTCTAAGAGAATTTAGAATGCAGAACATTGTGAATGTCACAAAAAGACAGACGAGGTAAATAGAGGACTTCCTCCTAGTACAACACCAACAAGAAAAAAAAGATCTATAGCTTACGAGTTAAAGAATGAACAATTAAAATCTTCTGTACTAAATGGACCAAAAATTATGACCAGTAAAGGAATAAATACCTTACAGCCTACTAAATGTTACCAGATAAAATTAAACAAAGTTATCAAAGAATAAAAAATAATTTCAGTAACTTACGAAAAAGTTGCATGGTATTATTAACCCAAAGATCGCAATGTACTAATGTAGCAAATGGTTCTCTCGCAGGTTTATCAAAAAAGTCATTGATTGCTCTCCTCATTTTGTCAAATTTAATTTTAAGATTAGAAATATACGGTCTGCATTCTTCATAATCTTCCAAAATACTAAAGAATACTTCCAAAGACTGTCCATACTTTTCTTTATCTGACGGTTTTGGTGGTGGAATGGCCTTTTTACAATTTTTTCGAATTTTTTCCTCAAATAAGTCTGTCTGACTAAATTTTAAACCCAAGGCGGTGGCATGTAGTCTGCATATATCTTTTAAGATAATTTTTGCTTCTGGTAAATTAAAACCCTCGTGTCGATCAACATTTATGTAACCTACAAATAGAAAAAATTAAATTAAATAAAAAAAAACCTTGTAAAAACACTAGCAAAAACCAGTTATTTGGCAAGTTAGAAATACGGCATGTTATACTGGTACCAGACTCTCTGGAGTAAAAGGAATGCATATTTAGTAAAAGAAACAATTATATGGCCTGGATTGTTTCTAAAAACTTATACAAATTAGAAACTGAATGAATTAGGGATCTGGTACAAATTCCATTTGTAGATTAATTCACTGGTAAACACACAGTTTGCTGCCAAGAGGAAAAATTCAATGTAGAATCACCGTGGAACGACTCTACAAGCGAAATGTACCAAAGGAGGCCAGTACAGAAGATACAGCTGAAACAAATAGACGACATTGAAGATATAAACGCGAGCTGGAAGAAAATTAAAAACAACATTGAAGAAGCAGCAACAGAAGCTCTAGAAAACGCAAAGTCATACTGAACAAAAGAAACAACAACAATACACCATGATTCAGAAAAGAAATAAAAGAGAAATGTAAAGAGAAACGAGAGGCCTACATGAAGTACAAAACATCAAATACCCCAGAATCTAGAGACAATTATAGAAGAATACGATATGAAACAAAGCAGTTGGTAAGAAGAACAAAAATGAACACTGGGAACAGTTTACAAAAAGGATGGAAAGCGACTTCCACGGTACACAAAAAAAAAATATGGAGATTTAAAAGAAACCAACGGTAAGAAATGGCAGACTTGAAGGAATACAATAACATTCCATCAAACGAATGGGAAAGATAACTGACAGAACTGTTTAAAGCAAAGGAAAATAATAATCAACACAATAACGTACCTGAATTAAGACAAGAAATAAAAGTCAGTTTTCAGGAAGTAGAAATAGCGATAATTTCGCTCAAAAATAGAAAGTCGCCAGGACCAGATGAAATAACCAACGAACTTCTAAAATACGGAGGAGAAAGTATAACCCTAAAGATCACAAAACTTATACAAAAACTAATATTGCACTGCAAGATACCAAACGCATGGAGAAACTACATAATAATACCAATGTTTGAGAAAGGAGATAAAGAAGACCCCAACAACTATAGAGATATAAATCAACTGAAAACCACACTTAAGCTTACCACAAAAGTCCTAACCAATAAAATCAATAAACTAACAGCTTTATCAGATGAACAACAAGGATTCAGATCCCGAAGATCCTGCGTAGACGCCGTATTTGACAAATATAGAAAAAGCCATCGAGTACACTAAACCAGCATATATATGTTTTATAGAGCTGACAAAGGCTTTCGATCGCATCCATGTCGAAGACGTCTTACACCTACTGTATAAAAGAAACATACCAATTAATATTATACAAACCATCGAAAACATCTACCTCCAACATCGAATACAGGCAAAGATAAAAAGAAATTTAACACAGCGTATACCAGTACAAAGCGGAGTCAGACAGGGTGACTCGTTGAGCCCACTTCTCTTTTATATAATAATGGACGAAATAATAGAACCAGTACGTAAAGGTCATGGCTACAGAATGGGGAACAAAGAAATCCAAATATTATGTTATGCAGACGACGCCGCATTAATCGCCGAGGCAGAAAACAAGCTCCAAAGATTAACACATATCTTCAATACAACAGCTAAGAAATACAATATAATAAATAACAGCAGAAAAAAACCAAATGCATGACATCTAAATATCCACTATGGTGTAAAATCGAAATTGATGAGAAAATAATAAAGTAGGAAGCAAGGTTTAGATATCTGGGAATAGATATAACTAGTTACGGAGATGTTATTATTATTATAATATAAGCGAGGGCAGAGGAACTAAGTCCCTATTATGCCCAAATTCAAAGAAATTTCATTATTCACCTACTAGTAAATACCAAAAATTACAAATAAAAGAAATGAAATTACAGTTTTTGGTTTAAAAGAAAAACAATATTTTAACTATAATATAAAACTGTCAAGTCTGTTTTTGAACGAGTTGGTAGAGGAAGCGGAGACAATGTTATCGTTAAGGTTATTCCAGCACTCAAAAACTCTCTTTGGAAGAAAGTTCTGTCTTTGTCTTATAGAAAAATTTTCTTTCTTTAGTTTATATTGATGACCTCTGAGGCGTTCATCTTGATTTATAATAAATATTTCATCGAGGTTTCCAAAATTGAATTTTAGTATTTTGAATGTTGTAATTAAGTCTCCACGTTGTCGGCGAAGTTCAAAAGTAGTTAGGTTAGCCATACTAAGTCTTTCTGCATAAGACGGTCTTTTCGGTCCCAAAGAAATTTGAATGGCTTTTCTTTGAACGTTTTCTAACAGAGTCTTGTCTCGAACCAAATCGGGATACCACGTTAGTCCAGCGTATTTAAGTATGGGTCTTACGGTTACAAATAGAGGTAATATGGTCGGACCAAGTTAGGCTGCTGTTCACGATAAAACCAAGATCGTTATACGAAAACACAGATTCTAATGGCTGCCCGTTAACAAAGTACGGCACAAGTGGGTTATTTTTGCCAATTCGAATCTCTACACATTTTTTCGCATTTAACGCGACTGGACCTATGAGGTCCAGTCGCTAACACAATGTAGGAGATTGGTTAGAGTAGAGCGACCAGAGACAAATCCATGTTGTTGTGTTGGAATAACATGTTCCTGGAGAAGGAATTTGGTCATCTCCTCGGAAATAATGGCTTCCATAACTTTGGCAACTACTGGCAGCAAGCTAATCGGACGGTAATTGTTGGGGTCGAGTTTGTTGCCTTTTTTAAAAATAGGGGTAACGGAAGCTAATTTCCAACTAGAGGGTAAGGAGTTTTGGATGAAAGAGGTTTGCATAATTAACGTTAAGGGTATTGCATTTCTGCCCACCTTTTTAACAGTTTTGGTGTTAAACCATCTAAACCAGGTGAAGCGGCCGTGCGAAGTTTGATTAAGCGTTGTTTGACATGATCCACTGTGAACTCAACTTGCTGTAAGGATGCGCCGACACGATTACAGTTAACAGCAGGTAGATAACCATCATTTAATTCTGTAGTACAAACCTGTGAAAATGCTAAAGAGAGAGTTTCGGAAGATTCTTTGTCAGAAGAGCATAAAGTCTGGTTGGATTTTTGAAGTAGCGAAATGGAAACTTTAGATGTCATGGAGGAACGTATGTATTTATAGACTTTTTTAATGTTACCACTTTCAATAACGTTTGCTTCAAAATTTTGTCTTAGGGTTCTTAGAGATGTTTTTAAGTTATTTGAAAATTTGCGGTGGCTTTGGAAATCACAAAGAAGCCCGGTGTGTTTAAATTTAAACGACATTTATTTCATTTAAATAAATGTCGTTTGTAATTAATGTGTTTAATTGCTGTTCGATTTATCCAGAGTTTGAGGTTGTTTTTATAACTCTTACGGAAAATAGTATTTGTAGAAATTATATTGTTGACTTTACCGAGAAATGCAGTCCACATTAATAAGGGGTCCTTTAAGTCTGCAAAAAATAAATGCCACTCGATTTGAGAGAGTTCAGTGTCAACATCAGAAAAGTCGGTTGTAGCATATGTTACAATATTATTTTTGCTGGGTAATATTTGATTGAGCTGGATGTGAGCTGTTATAACTGCATGATCTGACTTTCCTATGGGAGAACTGACTTCGAGAGATGAAATCAGCTATTCGTCATTAATAAGCACTAGATCTAAAGTAGAAGGTTGGTTATTATTCCTAAATCTAGTAGGTTCTGTAATGAGTTGTATCAGGTTTGAATTTACTACAAAGCTTTTAAATAAATTATGAGCGGTTTCGGCGTCAGATAATGAAGTTATTGGCCAGGTGATCTCTGGGAAGTTAAAATCTCCAGTAATAATGAGATTATCAAGAGATGACAGTTCTTCAAGTTTTGTGAAGAAAACATTATCGTGTGCAAATAGGGTATTAGGTGGACAATATATACATACTAGATTAAGGCAAAAAGAATTTTTAGTAACAGATAAGTGAATTGCATCTATTCCAGTAATATCTATTAGCTTAAGGTTAATTTTGAAAGTTGTGGTAATAATATTGGATAAATAAATGCATACACCGCCACCCACACGATTGTCATGTCACCGCCACCCACACATGTTGAAGTAGAAGTACAACAACTAAAGCGTAAAGCACGGGTTTAAAGCACAACAAGTAAAGCGGCAGGTTCTTTAAATGACACAATCTGGAAGAACAAACACCTAAGACAAGTCACAAAAACAAGAATCTATAAAGCAGCAATTAGATCTATATTAACATACACGGCGGAGGCAAGACCTGACACATCTAAAACGAGACGACTGCTAGAAATAACAGAGATGAAAATACTCCGACGAATATCAGAGAGAAGTCTATTGGATAGTGAGAGAAGCGAAAACATACGAAGAGCATGCAATATAGAAGACATAAATGGATGTGTGACAAAACAAAAACAGGAGTGGAACGAACATATCCGTAGAATGGCAGAGGATAGAATAGTACGAATAGCACGAGATAAGTCACCAAATGGACGAAGAAGTTCTGGCAGACCAAGAAAAAGATGGTGCGACAATTTAGGAGGCTAATATTGAAGAAGAAACAGGCTTTAAAGTCTATATACTAGAAGGAAGAAGAAGAAGAAGATATCTTTTTCAGGAAATACAACAGATCACATTTCTAACATATAGGGTAATTTAACGTAGCACAACGTTACCAAGATTTTCTGGAAAACGGTCTAAGTGGCTGTGGAGGTAATGAATTTTAATACTCATATGACAACCGTGTTTGTTAAAACTGTTGAGCATTTCTTCCACTATATCCCGGTAATTTTCCGATTTATTGTCTCCAAGAAAATTTTGCACAACTTTTACAAAAGTGCACCATGCATTACAATCAATTTCAGTCATCGATTCTGTAAAATGAGTAGAGCCATTTATGTGCTTAAAATGTTTTAATAAAATTCATAGATACTGTGGTCTTCTTCTTACGGTGCCTTATCCTTAAGGACGTTGGC